GTCTCTATATCATTCTGCCACCTTTTCCATGCGCATGGGGCAAGGCCTGTTACTTGCCAGAGAACAATGGTCAAAAGGTGCTCGATTGTAGGGTCCTCATTCATTGTAGCTAGCTGTGCGCAAACATCCAATAGTCGTGCTGTCAACAAGACGTACTGTTGTTCCCTCACGGAACTGCTCAGTTTGGTCATGGCCTCCATATTTCTGTTTGATAGGCTTCATTTGGTTGCTTTCGGCGGGCACTTTGACAATGCCTCGGGTACCATATTGGGCTTTGAATGATTCAAACCTGTCTCCGCGCTGGTTTAGGTTGCGAAGATGTCTTGCCTACTCTGCCGAGCTATCTTTCAAACCTATTCTATTGTTTGAACTGATCCAATATTTGACTCTATCAGCAGAGGGTAGCCCGTCAGATCTGGGAGTTGGCCAACATAGAGAACGGGCTCTGTGACACTCCTGCTTGTGCTTGTGTTTCTGCTTCAACGAATACAAAATGTGTGGAATTGGTTTTAGAGTTTTGAAAATTCCATTGCAACTCCCATTGTGGAGCAATGACATTGATTGCTCAACTCAATCCAACAGCCACTCCAATTGGCACTCCAAAGGACCGTCCCACCTCTCCCAATATGGGTCATTCAGTGAACAATTCCTCCATAGACGAGATATCTAGAGCAGAAATTAATGGTATAGCACCATGGCGAACAACCGTGAACGCGTTCAGTCGGTGTCCAATGACACCACTCTTGGTCACGCAAACTTCACTGTTGGTTATTATGCCGATCCGACAACGCGTATTGCTTCTTCGTTCGATGAAGCATACACTCAACTTGGTGCTTTGTATGGTGGCTTTTTTGGTCCGTACAAACTCATCATTTCCGGCGGTCCTTGTTGGTTGGGCGGAAAACGAGTTGAAAAAGCAATGAGAACTCGTGCACATCGATACCGATGCTCTGTCAAAGGATGCCCCTGGAGAGCCCAGATCAGGACAATGCAAAGTGGTAACTACGAAAGTGTCTATCTAATCTACATTACCTCAACCAGCCGGCACGATCACGAATTTACAAGAGCAGCACCAAATCATACAGATCAGTACGGACTGTCACCATTCTTTAAACAGCTTGCAAATGCTTTCATCGCCGGACAGTGGAACCACTCTAGGAGAACCTGTCTCGAGATTGCCCCCAATGAAATTACTCAATTCATTCTATCCAGCATATATCACGAGCACCCAAAATTCCAGCACACTGTGGATACACCCACCAAACGATACCATGTTGGAAATCAAGTTACCAATTTCCTTCGTGTTGTGAAGAGGAACTACGTGAAACGGACAATTGGGGTCGAGCGAATAATGGACAATGACGAATTGTCAAGGGTTCTGTCTTTATACCGATTTGTCATTCCATTTGGGTATACCCCAAGATCGGACTATGCTACCGTAGAACAACTCTGCGAAGCTTTGCGTGCCCCTGGACCAGAATCCGGTCACATGTATCTCTTCAGTCTTTCGGAGGGAGTGGTCCATGACCGCTACAAGCGCCGTATTGTGGGGTACAGTGGACGGTCACTTGAGCTGTTCGAAAAGAGAACAGAACAATGTTTCTTTGCAGTCTCCATCACGTCTCTCTGGCAGTTAATGCATTTCACCAAACGGCCAAGTGGACCGAAGCAACTTTGTTCTGATGGTACCGGTGGCATAAGTCAAGACTTGGCTCCAACCATTATCACCGGTGGGCTCTCACAGAAGTACAGAGATGATCAGTCCAAGGTGACATCCTCATTGAGACCGTTCTCTTTCGTGAAAGGATCCGAAGCCATCCATCCATATCTTTTGCACTTGTATTGCTTGCGCGAATTATGTTTTCAGCTATTTGGTACAAGCTTTACAATTGACTGTGGCACCTCAGATCACTCTGCTGCTTTCGTTACAGCCCATCGGCACTTTCATCATTGGCCCGAAGTCTGTGATCTGAACTGGAGGTCATTGAAAGTTCCGATTTCGCAACACCAGTCACAGACCATATCATCGTCTTTGACGTTGGCACAATCTAACAACAGGGGATGCACCGGAAACCTATCCTCTACCCAGAACGATACCCTTTTTGGAAAGTGTTCTCAAGGAACGCAGAATGATTTGTCTCAGTCGGTCCTTCCGGAAACTGTGATATCCGTGTCGAATGACCAAGAGAATGCTAACTTCAAGACAACATCGAAATCGTCCAAGGCTGCTGTGAAACTGCTGCCACTTATCACCAACCACTTTCCTTCTTTCGTTGAGCCAAATCGGCGAAAGCAAACGAGTTTGTCCAATGTGCTCCGCCATCCTTCTTTGTTGTATCAACCGGTGGAAGGAGTGACTCTCTGCTACTTTCACGTGGTTCAGCATTTCCGACAGAACAACAGTTTTGTAAGAGCATTCAAAGATAGGATGTTCGCTGCAAAAGATGACCCGTTCTCTACAAAAGAAGCCACGAGAAAGAAACTGAAGAGCAACAACAAGGAAGTCAAGGAACAGGCTTCGACATCCATGTTCCCAAGGGCATATCACATGGTTCAGTGGATCCATCGCTGTCGAACAGAACAGCAGAAGACTGCGATTTCTTACTTGATATTGCTGAATTGGATTGTACGTGGCAAGTCGTCTGCTGCCGATTTATTCTATCGCTCCTACTGTAGTTCTCCCTACAACTGTTGGAATTATGCAACTACTGACGAACAAATGACATACCCAAGCAACTGTGCCATGGAAAGCAACATGCATCATCGAATCAAGAAAGGAGCACGCCATGCCATCCAAGCCAATGTGTCAACAGAAGGATACGTAATCAAAACTCTTCCCAAACTGTTCTCAAATCATGAGATGTCAGGAAGAGACCCGTGTACACTTGAATACCCCAAGGATGTCTCACGATTGATGGTGTGTGTGACAGCTTTCTTTGATTCAGCAGTAGATCTTTTCGAATGCCGAAGCAATGATGAAGAAACATATTGGTTGGCAAACTGCGGTTCCCTGATTGGAGTTCCTTTTTTGCGATCTAGGAGGTTGGATAGAGAAATGGCACTTGACGGATGCATCGCGCACTTCGCGACAGAACACAACAAGGCAGATAAAGAACCTTCCTACTATTCCAGAATTGGGAAGAAAATGATTGATGCAACCAAGAATATTTGTCGATTACAACACAAGAACGGAACAATCGTCGGCGATTGCATTGACTGCTGGAAGCATTGTGGGTATGGATGTCCTGGGGCTGCTTATTTGAGAAGCTCCCTCAACATGCTGGATCAGTCTTTGGAGAATAAACGAAAGCTTAAGTGTAACTCACGGGGTCTGGTCGCGAAGGCTCTTGTTCGTGGATCACAGTATGACATGTACACCGGTGGCAGAGCAACCGTAACAGGAAAGCGAAGAAAGGCACCCGAAATGTTGAAATCCAACGAGGCCTTTCTGAAGACACTAACCTATCCGCTTCTGCTAACGTGAGGAAATACTACTTGAATAGAGGGATCTTGTAGAGGTAGCTACCACCCAACGAGATCAACTGCAACTATTCAAGACGAGTGCAAGGTAAATGCAAAGTTCGCTCCTTAGTAATTCATAATCTGTGCTGTGAGCTTTGATTGATGCGATCAGTAAAGCTAGTTCATAGCGTGTTAGATCAATGCATCGTGGTGGTTGATCTTGATTCATACGGAAGTCAACGTGGTATCTGCGGGAAACGGTTCGTTGGCAGGATGCTTTACTCCTGTCGAATACTCCATTTTACCGTGTCCTTTGGTTTCGTTGAGAACGTGTACTTGCCGGCGTCCATCGTGTTGACTCATAATCTATCTACTCACGGATACTCTGAGTCGTGGGAGGAACTGTAACGCTTTCACTCCCCTCAGTGGCGACTGTCGACTCTGAGTGTTTCTTACCGCAATCCTTGGTATCTCCTGACCAAAACAGTAGTGCATTCAGCATAGGCTATACCGATGTATAGTCCCAGTGCTTGCTGAGGATATCTGCAGGGTTAGTAGATCCAGGGATATGATGAAATCTCAAGATACTTGCAGCAACAGCTTCCCTAGTACGGTGGTAGGAAAGCGCATTGTGTCTTTTGAGAATCTTTGAGTGTGGCATTGAGGCGGTGTTGACTACCGTCTCGTTGTCTTCGAACATCATGGTCGGCGTGTCGACCAGTACTCCTAAGTACCTGAATGTGCTTCGTAGGTCAATGATCTGCTCAGTGGCGGTACGGGCTGCAACATATTCGGATCCGAACGCTGCGGTCTCGACTATTGACTGTAGCTTGCTGAACCAGTCAATGGGAGTCTTGTTCGCTAGGTGTAGAACTCTGGTAACTGACCGTCCACTGATGAGATCGCGATAGAGGTTCGCATCCACATATGTGGTGAGAATGACCTGTTTGCCTCGAGGTACCGGTGCGTTGTGCAGTTGAACTTCTTTGGCACCATGGTAGCATGAGTACTCCCATTCGTACTCTTTCTTAGGAATCGCTGAGTAATCCGGCTCCTCCTTTCGGATGCGGATGATGCCGTGTCGCATCTTGGAAAGGTACCCGCAGATTCTCTTGACTCATTCTAAGTGACCCATTCTTGGTGCTGCCCGAAATCTGGACATCGTCATGGTGGCCGTGGCAATATCGAACCTTCCGATTTGGATTGCCCATTGTAGACTACCGATGAGGGATTGGTATATCTTCTGTGTGTCCATATCGAGTAGCTCTGTTGTGTCAGTCTCTGGATGATCTCCTTTGATGAGTGGAGATGAGGCTTGTTTGGGCATGTGTCCGAAGATCCGTTGGTAGTTGCTGAGTACCTTCTCAATGTATTTGCGAGGTGCGTAACTCAGTACTCCGTTCTCATCGCGGAAGAAATCACATCCTAGGCGGAAGCTGATGGCACCGGTTCCCTTTAGTTTGAACTTGTGCTCCCCTTCCAATGTCGCGATGATCTTGGATGCGTCTTTGCTGACAATAAGGAGGTCATCTACGTACACAGCGATGTATTCGTAGTTGCTCCCTTTGTCTCTCATCCAGATGTCTGATTCGGCTTTCGAAGAAAAGAATCCCATTGAACGGAGAACATCTGCAAATCGTTCATGCCATCGTAATCCAGAAGACTTGAGTCCGTATAGGGCACGGCTGATGATGAGGGTGCATCCTTCTCGATCTCCGAACTCGGGTCCTGCAACAACGTACTTCTTCTCTTTCGTAAACGATTCCAAGTAGGCGTTTCCGATGGCTGTCTGTTGCCCATACTTCGCAATCATTGAGTTCTGCGAGGAATGTGAGGATACGAATCCCACGTAACGAAACCACACTGGAATAGACGGAGTCTACTGGTGGATCAGTGAGATGTCCTCCAGCGACAAGCCGTGCTTTGTGTCGTCCATCGTGCTTGACTGCGTACACCATGTGCACTCGGATCTTCTTCCAATCTGGTCCAGGGTTATGTCCCTTTCCCTTGTTGATGAAGGTCTCGTACTCATCAATCTGTTTGAGTTCGGTCATCTCGGCATCTCTCCACTTGGTATCTCCATTGCGCGCATCTAGTTCCATGGCTTGGTCATGGTTGCGCGGAACTTGGAATCCGTACATGAACAAAGGCTTGGTCCTGAAGGAGTGAAGCTTTGCTTGTGCAATACACGGCTCTTAGCCTTATTCGCGACTCGATCCTAGATAGGGTTTGAGTTCGACTCATGACGTAGTCCTTCGCGAATAGTCGTTGAGACAGGGTTCTCATGACGCTATAGTCATACTAGGTTGTCTGATGAAACATCGCTGCTAGATTTTTAGCCAGCGTGGAAAGATTCCACGCTACTAGACAGCGTTTACTAGCTGAAGTTTCACTGTGTCCGGAAATGGACCTGTGGAGTACGTAGAGTTATTTGCCATAACCTACGATATCACACTTCGAGGCCTCTGCGGGAGACCAACTTCAATGGCTTCAAAACGATCTCTCTCATGGATTAGTTTCTCGTAGCTTTCTAATCTCTCTCATAACTTTTCATTCTCTCAAACACAAAACACTCGAAAGATCCTTTTACACCTAGCTTTTAGCGTAGTGCAATTTTGTTAAAAACACAATAGCTTTTCAGCTACCCTCAACCTATTCTTCCCATGAAGATTGTCAAGGAAAGACATGCGTTCAGCAACTTCGAGGAAACATTGCGTTGGCAAACCCATTCTTTCTCTCGTCGACAATGACGAAGGACACCGAGATCGAGCGATTCTCGTGCAACACACCTAAAACTTCGCACCGTTCCTGCAGATGCAAACAGTGCCAAATACACCTTCAAGGTAGCCATCATCAATGGTTCCAACACTCCACGTCAGACCATTAAATGGGCTACGAAAATGGAGGAGGTCTTCGTTGGACTCAACCTTCGCATAGTCCCGACGACAAAATCGGCTTCTCAAGGAGATACTTCCAGCTCTGCAAAGAGTGCCTCGAAGCGGGTGTCAGGCATCGTCCAGTGCAGTCATAACGCCCTACGACAAATTTGCTGTGAACGCAATTCCTCCACGCGATGTGACTTCTGGAGAAACCGAAGTAGGAGCCTTCCAGGCTCGTGTCAAGCCGCATGGGACGGTGGTCAGCGGAACCGCTTCTAAGCGATGCTGACATCACCTTTGGAATCAAACGGTTATCGAAGCAGCCTGTCCTTACAAGGACTCTGAAAAACAGAAACGCTTCATGCGTCGCAAGATGCGTAAGCCTAGCGAGATGACAACTCGCGCCTACATCAACAACTCTTACTCGGATGAATACCGATGAGCTTTCACTTTTGCCACCCCCGGCCCGCCCCCCCGCCCCGCCCGCGCCCCCGCCCCCGCCCCCCCGCCGCCCCCCCCCCCCCCCCCCCCCCCCCCCGCCCCCCCCCCCGCCCCGCCCCCGCCCCGGCCGCCGCACGCGCCCCGGGGCCCCGCGGCCGCGCCCGGCGGCCGCCGGCCGCCGCCGCCCGACCTTCCCCGCCCCGGGCCGCCCCCGCGCCCGGCCTGGGCGCCCTCGAGCCCGGCGCCCCGCCCCCCCCCCCCGGCCCCCCCCCCCCGGCCCGCCCCCCGCCCCCGCCCCTTTCGATGTCAATTCAACAGTTGAACCAGGACGAATTCATCGACATCATCTGTCATGGCATTCCTCGTTCCTA